TTAAATATATATCATTTTATTTTTAAATATATATTTATATATATATAAATATATAATATATATATTTTTAAATATATATCATTTAAATTTAAATATATATCATTTTATATCATATGATTACACAAATGTATGATGCAAGCAGAAAACTTTCAAAGGAACTGAAATGTCTTAAAATGTTATCTATTATAATTTCAAAAAGAAAAAAAAAAAACAATCTTTTTAATTTTATCCGGTCCTTTTCATTCTTTCAGCTAGAGATAATCCCTCATCGCTCATAAAATCTCGTTAATCCAAGCCTCACAGAAAAAATCTCTTGCTTTTTTCCCCCGTTTGTTTAAAATCAACTCTTTTCGACTCTTTTTGATCACTAAATTATACAGATTTCAAATTTTTACGAATTTTTGAAAAAATAATTTATATATTATCAATATATTATCGATGAATGTGTTTTTTAATTATAGAGAATATTTTTAATAATTCTTAACAAAACTTTTTTTATTTCTAAAGAGTATAATTTATTTTTTTTATATACTAGAGAATAAAAATATCCTCCTTTTATATACTAGAAAATAAAAAAATTAAATAAATGCATATCTATAGATGTTTTTTTAAATAAAAATACTAAAATATCTCATAATTGAAATTATCAAAAAAATATTTTAACAAATGTTATTTGGTTTTAAGAAGAATATAAATTATGTAAATTCATTATATGTAAATTATTTTTTTACAGATCAAATCAATATCATTTTTTTTTTAAATAGAACTGTATTACAATTTTAAAAGTATTAATCGATCTATTTGATTTCCTAAAAAGAATATTAACTTATTATATATTTATATAAGAAACCATTAATTTAGAAGATATTTTAATTAAACATTAAAATTCTTTAGTACTAAAATTCGAAAATTGGAAAGATGATCATTATTTTGATTCTATTTCACTAGATAACTTTTGCAAACAGCACATAAAAATAAAACATATATATTTCTTTTGGTTATTTAAACAAAATACGGTGGAATATCATACATGCATTAAACAATAATAAACATAACCATTCGATAAATAAGAGAAATACATATATATAAATATTTATGTTGTTTAATTTATTCGTGAAGGTTATCTTATTGAATTAGAATCAATTTTGACTGATTATATCTTCTCAATCAATAAATTCTGAAACTACAACATTTAAATTGAAATATCTTTTAAAAAGTAATTAAAACAATAATTTTTTAAATAAAAGTTAATAAAATACTTTTATAAAAAAATTCAAATCGATGTATAACAAAAATTAAATCGATGTATTCAAAATTATATGATTTAATTTAAAAAATGAGATTAACTTTAAAATTTCTTTTACTACTCAACATACAAAAAACACCATATGATTTTCTTTGAATCAAACTTTTTTTAATAATTTCAACTTAATATTTCTTCATTCAAAGAAATTCTCATTTAAAGAAAAAATTTGTACGTAACGAAAAACTAGTATAGAATTATATATATTAAAAAGCATATTACATACAATTTACTGTGAAACAAAAAGAAAATATAATGATGAATAAATTTACTGTATCATCAGAAGAGTTAAAGAATTAATATTGTATTTAATGATCGAATAATAGATAAATTTTTATTTAAATATTTTATTTAAAGAGAATTTGCAAAATATGCTTAACAAATTAAAAAAATTAGAAACATTTCCAACAGAATCGGAGTTTCGAATACACCGTCTGTATAGTATATTAACAGATTTTATACAATATAATTTTTATGTACCTACACCCCCGCAATCGCCAGACTTAAATCCCATTAGGTATGTGTGATGGAAACTCAAAAAATGGTTAAGAAAAAGTATATTTTCAAATTCTAAAAGATAAATAAAATATAGATTCTAAAAAATAAATAAAGTAAAAAATTAGTGTTAGATTTTCTTAATAATTTATATTCTATATCAAATAGAAATTTATTGTTACATAATTTATCTAATTAGTAATAATTATACAATAAATATTTTTTTTCAAAAATATTATGTGAATTTTTAATTATAATTTATAATATAACTTAATTAACTTTAATTTTTTCCTATTTGTTGTTATATATTAATATAAAACATACAATCAAAACATATAGATCATAATAATTATTAAAAAATTAATATAATAATGTTTTCTTTATTTTTATAATTTTATTTTATTAATAAAAAATTTAAAAACTAACCAAGTTGCATTTGTTTATAATTTTAGATTATGAAATTTTTGTAAAATAAAAAGAATTATTTTTCACAAAAATTGCTTTTAAAAAATTAATATAATAAATAATAAAAAATTTTTCTTAAATTTCAAAGAAAATATTCAATTTGTAATTTTTACTCAATTGACGGTATCATTTGCAAATAGTTAAAAACGTTAAGATTACGAGGATAGTCGTTACTATAAGTCGCCAAATATAAGGAATAATCAACGAATTGACGAGAGTTGCCTTTAAAGGCCTTGAAGATGTTGCGTGTGTTTTCTAATGGCGATATAATTGATATAATATATAACCATAATAATAATTACCATGATATTTCCATTTATTAAAATTTTATGTTGTTTTTCAAAGGTTTCGTGTACACAAAGAGGATTAAAGCCAAGTTATTCACATTTTTTCGCATGATTAAATCGCTCGTCTAAATACAAACTATTTTATTGAGAATATCTAACTATATACGTCATTATTATCTTTCGATTCAGATCAATTTTTTGTATTTCAACTAAGTTCGATTTAATTGAATTTCAAAATTACATTCAGCGACACTCAATAATGTTTCACGTTGAAAAATCAATTCGAACATGTTGCACGTTGAAAATATTACATTACGTTTCTTCATTCAAATGCACATATTTCATGCAATGTGTGTGTGATTATCATATAAGTTTGAAAATCAAATATGCTTTTGATAGAATATCATTAGAATAATAATTGCATAAAATTGTATATATTTTGTGGAATACTTAATAAAATATGAATTAAAGAGAAATATTTCCTTTAATGATTCGAAATTAATATAACAATATTGACATTTTATTAATATAAATAAAAAATTATATTAAAATATTTATTGTTATTAATTTTATATCATTAAATATTATATATTAAAATCAAATATTGTTGAATTTTGATAATGCTGAATAACATTATTAATATTTTATTATTTTATCGAAAAATTTATTTTTATTCTCTATCACAATACATAAATCATAATATAAATAACAGAATATTAAAATTAAAAATTATCGAAAATGTTTTGTTTAAAATAAAATGTAGGAACACTATATTATAAACAAACATTAATTACATTCATCAGATATTGTAATTAAAAATTTTCCTTATTTATAAATTATATAACAATTTTCATTATTTAATTTTTTCTGTCAAATTCATCAAAATAAATTAAATATTCAAAATATTATATATTTATTATAAATATTTCAAAATATATATTATTTGTTAAATATTCTTTTAAACTATAATAAAAATGAATAAAAAATTGAACCAATAAAACGATGAAAATTAATGAAAATTAACAAATACCTTATCGATAAATAATTACCGATGTTTCTTATAATGAGCTATAATGAAACTTCCTAATTTAGTTTCTGTTAATTTTGCAGTTACCATTACGAATCATTTCGTCTCATCAAAAAGAATTATCATAGAAATGTAATCAATTTTATCAATATGACGTGTGCACTAATTGTAACCAATCGTGTATGAACACATTTGAAATCGTTTCTCCAATTTTTCTCCAATGCAACGAATTCAATAAATCAATTTCTCACAACACGTGCATTTATCGAGAAGCTTTTATTTTTCCTTTTATCTTTCCTCCATTATATCTTAATAATCTGACGATAATCCTTATAGAACATTAAGGGTAAGAGGAGTGAAATTCACATACTTGTAGGAACAATAACAAGCGATGCTCTTATTGAAGTACAGCAAATACAGGAATACCAATTTCCATTGGATTCCTTTATCTCCCAATCGATCGTCGATCCTTGCATGGCTGATTCATCTCTCGAGAAACTTCGTCGAGTATCACCAGAAACTGTTCACATCACTCCAATGTAATTATTATTTCAACGACACTGTTCCAACTGCCCGGAAAATAACGACTACAGTAGTCGAACTGTAGAGTGAAAACAAAACAGGTGCGTCGACCTTTATCCGTCTTACACTTATTCCATCACTTCCTTTCTTTCTTACACTTGATGAAAGTAGAAAGAAATTTAAAAAAAAAAAGAAAAGAAAAGAAAAACATCGAATTTCGCATGTTTTCCATTTTACCGGTTTGTACGATATTTGAGTACGAAAATAAACGAAAAAAGGAAAAAGATTTTTTTTTTTAGTGTATGAATTTTCTAATATCGATTCTTTTTGCTTATCTTTTCATTTACTATTTTTAATTGAAGATTTCTTACAAATAAAAAGAGAACTTGTTAATTTTCTTTTAATCGTTACTCCATGATTTTCACATGTTCCAATACACTTCTCTTTTACGAAACAATAAATATATATCTAATAAATATATATCTATATATATAATATCTTTCAATATTCTAAACAATATTACACTATGTAATGATTGTAGCAATTCATTCAATACTCAATTTTCAAATCGATAATTATCGATAATTCAATTACTAGATTGAAATTTGTTAACCAATGAACAGTTCACTTTTAATCATCACTTTTTTTTTTGTTTAAATAAAAACAAAAGATTATATATTGATAACTTAATGATAATTCGCACAATGATCGTTTAGCAAAGGGAGAAAGTCCATGTTGCAAGTTCGGACGATCTGTTTGGGCTTCGTCCTGTTGCTTCGACTTCTCTAGTTGACTAGGGAGATAGAGGGGGAAACGAACGTACTTGCGGGCTTGCAGACAATCGCGATAACGACAGGTCGGTTAGACGTTCGTCGTACGACTAGACCGGGTTCTTGCCGTTGACCTGGACCCGCCTTGCAGCGCTTGCGCCGCGCCGCCAAATTACTGCCCTATCCGGAAAACCATCCGGGGCATGACGCAACGTATCGTAACGCCCTATGCTGTTGTTTTCTTGTCCGCGTGCGTCTGCTAGCAAACGCATTTTTCGCGCCACACGCATGCCGCGTCTAATCAAACTTTTCGAAGTTTTTAATGAAACTTTTTTTAGTTCACTGGTTTCAATCAATTGAAAATAAAAAATAGAAAAAATAAAAATATAATATGCTTGATCTGCTCTTACGTGAATAACTTTTCTTGTTTCGCATGGGAACTTTCTGTGGTTTGTGTTTGATGTGCAAATATATTGAATTCAGTTTCGAAATTGATGTTTATCTTCAGTTTGCTGTTGTGAAGTGAATACGAATGACGCTCAGATGAGATGCCGTATGTATTTTTTGGTTATATAAGAAATTATTGATATATAAAAAGATTTGAACAAAGAAGAAATTATTTGGAAAATATAGGGAAATATAATATTTGGATTGTTATAATCATTTACTTACTCATTTAATCGTTAATTTATTTTTTTAATGTAAGAAATTTTATTTTTGAAAGTAGAAAATTATAATAAACAATACTTTTAATCTTGGAATGGAAGAAAATATTACTTAATATTATTTATAAATTATTTAAAAAATTCTTAATTCTTGTTATGTAGAAAATGAGAAAAAAATAAGGAAATGCTAACAAGATTCGAACATATAACTCTTCGATCGAAAAACCAGAAACATTACACTATGTTATGTATGTTATGATGTTCCGACACACTGTATGCTATAATATTAGTACTGTTATTCATTTCAATATTAATGGAAATTCTATATTAATTATACTAAATATGTATATATATATGTTTAAATTTTTTGTTTTGACATTTCTTGTTATTAATGTAATTTTATTAATCAAAATAATAATATTCCTATTATAAAGTTATTGTTATTAATAAAAAATAATTGATATAAAAATTTTCTAGTATAATAATTATATAAAATTCATATATTTTAAAAAAATTTATCTTTTTCATGTGTATATATATTTAGTTTTGATTTTGATAAAATCTTATATAAAAAATCATATTCTTTCTATGAAAGAAAATTTAAATTCTTAGAAAAAAATAAAGAATTTGATTCTTATTTATAATTTATATTTTTTATAATTTATTGATAACTTACTTAGATACATCTATATCTATACCTAAACTTATTTTTCTTTTTTCAATAGTATGTTATGTAAATTATGTAAATAATATAGTTATGTAAATTGATTTAAAATTATTATAAAACTTTTAATGAATTTGAAGTGAAAGATAATTTTTATTCACTTATTTTTTTTTTCTAAAATGAAATATAAAAAATAAATACTTTGTTTCATTATAAAACTTTAATTAAAAAAAGTGTTTTCTTTGTACATAAGACTAGAGTTTTCGAGTCCTTCACATTGATCATACGTTTTTCTGATGTATCATTAACGCCTCCTTATGTTTTTATAGCGGAATAGAATTTTTGAGATAATATAAGAAAATATAAAAAAAGATAATGGATTTTAGGGACCTACGATTAACCTGATAAAGAAATATTCTGCTAAAAAAGAAAAATAAATAAAAATATAGGGTTTAAAGATTAAATAATTTAATTTTATTTTCTAGAGAAATTAATACCAAATTTTATCAAAAATATGCTACATACATTTTTTAAAAAAATTTTAGATAGTTTAGTTTTAGTTTTTGAGATTTTAAGATTATAATTATTTCAAAAATATCTGTAAATATATTATTTATTAAACAAATATTTATTTAAATCAATATTGATTTCTTTATAGAAACATATTATAAAAAAATTTTTTATAAAAAAAATTATTAGAAGAAAATAAAAATTGTATATAATTTCTTTTTGTATAAATTGCAGACTTAAATTATATTCGTCAATTTTTTAAAACTACTGTATGTAATTTATTCATGATTATCTAAAAATTTTACTATATAATTTTACTATATATATTCCATATATCTTTTATGAATTTCTAAAACCAAGCATATATAAAGAAACATAAATCTAATTAGCATTTATTAAAAAATAAAAATTCAAAAGTAATATTATGTTTTATTTCTAAGATAAATAATAATAATAAATATATATATATATAATATTACGAAATTGAAAGAAAAAATTATTAAAAAATAATATCCAGAAAATAGAAATGTTTTATCAAATTTAAGATTCGTTTTCTAGATTTCAGTTAGAATATTAAAGAATAAAAAATAATAATGTTTTTGAAATATTTTTGATAGAAAATATATATATTTTTTTTTCATAGTAATTGCTAAGCAAAAATTTAAAAAAACCAAATTGATCAAAATAAAGATCAATTCATTTTACTTAATAGTTAATTACTAATTTAATTAATAATTAATTAATAATTATAATTAGTTAATATTAATAATATTTACATATAACTTTAAAATATATTCTAGCAAATGAAAATTGAGATTATTTTTGCATTCTTTTCTCATAATACAAGAATTACAATCCAGAAAATAATGAAGAAAAAATAAAAAAGAAAAAGAAATATCATTTTACTAGAGACGAATTCATCTTTTGTAATGAAGTTTATGACAGAAACTTTTAAAAGCAAAAAATATTGTTCTGATATTATTCAGATTATGTTAAAGATGCGAAACAAAATGAATCTGAGATAAAAGACAACTGATAAAACTTTTCTTCAATTGCAGCGTACGTTTATGACTTTAAATTACTATTAGTGGACTGATTCACGAGTATCAGATGGAGGTAATGAAAAGGAAATTTAATATGAGTAAAGTTCTGTCGATAAGTTATGAATGAATTCTCGTAACTCAACAGATCGTGACTGGACTACGAAAAGAACGTTTCAAATCTTTTAAGAAGTTCGATCCCTTGCAAATCATAAGGAATGATACGAATTTGTAAGTATAAATGAGGAAAAATGAATCCAATATTAAGATATCTCAATTTCAATATGTATTTTTTTTTTTTAATATTTAATACTTAATATACTTATGAAAATACAAAATTTATCTTTCTAAAATTTTTTTTATTAATTTTACAATTTTATAAATATGAAAAAAATAATTTAAGAGAATAGAGAATATTTTAAATATTTTAATTTGTAAATTTAATAAATAAGATACTGTTATTATATTTAGATTATATAATAAATCATATAATATAAATATATAATATAAATTATATAATATAAATTTTATATTATTATGATT